AGTTAACTTTAATCAGCACCAAACAATTGTTTATTGTACAGTATCAGTAATAAACAAACATCTTAATATTCTTTTCTTTGAATGTCGTAATTGGGTCTCCACGAAACATAACGCAAGCGTTGCTTCACGTCGATATTCTGTGAGGCCGTGTGAGACTCCGGTCAAGCCAGCCCATTCGTGGAAATGAGACGATGTTCCTTTGGTCCTACAAAATACATTAAGTTTGGAAGAAAGCTTCTGATAATACTGTATTACTAAGCTAAATACCATTGAGATTTATCATATTCTATGTCAGGAATATATTTATCGTTAATTAGTTTTTATCGGTAGGTTTGCTAATTATTTAGATTTCATCTATTTCCTGTGGAATGTTTTACGGAAATCGTTTTGTACTTTGATTTGATTGAAAATAGCAACAAATTATGTAAAGTGTGTCTGTCTATCTGTTCGTGTGTCCTTTCTCTGTGGTCCTTTCAAAGCATTTGAAATAAGTATATGAAATATGGCTAACACTATCCATTTGCTTCCCTTGAATCTGAAGAGGTCCCGTGGTTCTCATGATTCTGAGCTGTGTCCCGGGGAACTCCTCGCTTCCCTGTTTATGATTAAGTTAAGGCTCAAAGGACGTTTATCACTAAGTACTGTCAGGCTAAATTAAACTTGAAATAATGGAAACCATCACTGAAATGAAGCAAACAACAATGATGAAATGAAATGTAATGAAATGAAACCTTTATTTGTGATACATAGGTACATGTGGTAGGCCATTTTTACCGACTTCAAAAAAAGGAGGAGGTACTATGTTCGGCTGATTGTTTTTTTTTCGCTTTTTTCTTTTTGATCCTAGGGAAACCGAGGGGAACTTTCGAAAATTCTGTGGGCGAGTAGTGCGTCTATTATGTTTTTCAATTAGGATTTTTAAACACTACAATTAAGGGTCTGGAGTCGACCTGATGATGGAGCCGACAGACAGTCGAGGGAACTTCTCGGCGGTTTATATTAACTACCTTGTGTTTGGGCTTGATTAATTTGTATTGATGAGGACTTTACACTTAGATAGAGTGGGGCTGTCATTAAGGGTCTGATGATGAAGAAGTGTAATTGTTAAGGGAACTCCTCAACGGTATACAGTAACTACCTTGTGTTTGGGCTTGATTAATTTGTATTGATGGGGACTATACACCTAGATAGAGTGGGGCTGTCATTAAGGGTCTGATGATGAAGAAGTGTAATTGTTAAGGGAACTCCTCAACGGTATACAGTAACTACCTTGTGTTTGGGCTTGTATAATTTGTATTGATTAGAACTTTGCACCTATGTAGATTATAAGTAATAAAACGGGTATATGTAGCTTTACACTGAAAATTATAAAATAATAAAACAAAAACTGCGTTTAAAAATAGGTACCTAATTCACAATTTTGTGGGCATTAAGTTATACCATTATGATATGAGCTTATGGCACCGACTTCTTACCTATCAGTGGGTAGGTAACCTATCAGAACTAATAATAGTTATTTTTTGCATTTTAGTTTTGACTTTTTGTTTGTTATTAGTTTTTGGTTTTTTAAAGTCGGTTTTTTATTAGATTAAACTGTCAAACACCAAGCGGTCACCGGTGACCGCAACCTATTGTTCTTTAATTGTGTCTATAAATACGGTACACGACGAGTTAAAGTGAAAATGATCTATACATACAATAAATCAACTGTGGATAAAGTCAATCGTTTTATAAGGAAAGCCATGCGCACAGCTAGTGATAACGAGTATTGATAATTTCTACAAATCATTTTTGAAATCACAAATTCTACTATATCACACCAACAGTGATTAGTGACGATTGATATATCAATAATCTTGTGATTTATTTAAAGCAGTGATATAAATATCAATAAATAAATTTATCTCATAATGACATTTCGTACCTTGATACACTTATTTTTTATTTATTTTACGTTAATCATCTATTTCTAAATATAGATTATTGTCCCATACGATATACATGTATTTTTTTTTAATTTTGCCCTACACCATGATTTTCTCGTGGTTGCGTTTACGATACACATAATATCTAGGATATTCTTACCTATACCGAGGATATCCCAGACATCAGCCTATACGAGATTAAAATGGCCCTCAAGCAGCTTAAGATCAAGAAGGCGCCGGGCGAGGATTTTTTAAATATCTTTTTTTATAAAAAGGGCTTTTTTCCTAAGAGAAAAACATCAGACTTATTATCGAATACAAGGTTCGGTACATAGTTACTAAAATAGAGAAGCTAAACCACGAGGATGGAATCAGATCAGAGCTGCTGAAAGCTCTTTAACTCTGTTATATTCGAGGGAGTAACATCGGAAGCATGGAACAGAAGTGTGATGGTACTGTGGCAGTTCAAGAAGGGAGTTAACACTAATGAAAATTTACAGACTCATCTCACTTCTGAGCCATGTTACAAGCGATTATCGAGGATCATCATGAATTGTCTCGCACGTAGGTTCAATGACTTCCAGCCTCATAAACAAACCGGTTTTCGCAAAGGCTATAATATATAGTGCCATCCAAACTAATCCAACTTGGATAGACAGCTTTCGGGAAACTACGCAACATCTTCTCGTCCAACATACGCCTCAAGACGAAAGTATCTATGTGTTACCAGCGACCATCCATGGAACTGAAACGTGGTCTCTCACTGTGGGCCTCATAAAGAAGCTCAAGGTGATATGGAAAAGGCTATACTCAGAATTTTTTTGCGTGACCAAAGAAAATAACGAAGAAATTCGCGAACGAACGAAACAAACGAAAGGTCGCCGACATAGCCCAGTGGATTAGCAAGTTAAAGTGTCAGTGGGCAGGACACTTAGCATGGAGGACCGACGGCCGCTGGAGCAGAAAGATTTTCGAGTGGAGACCACGTACCGGCCAGCAATCTTCACTCACGAGGTGAACCGACCCGATTAAGGTCGCAGGGCTCAGGTCGCTTCCAACCGGCCTATCTGGAAGTCATTAGAGCAGGCCTATGTTCAGCAGTGCACGTCCTATGCCTGATATGCTGATGATGATGATGATGATGACAACCAGACCAGGAATAACAATTAGTGGATTAGACATGGTATATGAATTCTTCTACACTGCGATGTACATAAACATTTTAACTATGATGAATACCATGGGCGCTGATTGCTTACCATCAGGTGATCTGTCTGCTTGGTTGCCTCTTATTCCATAAAAAATACCCTAAACGTTGTCAACGCAGGGAGCAGCAGTACGAACAGTGCGTTTTATGATCAGAGTCACCATGTGGCACCACTCTGTGCCTCCCAAGAGGCCACGACACGCTATGTATATACGATATAGATATGTACATTTTTATATTCGTTAATACCCATAATCAGCAGCTAATTATCTATTTAGATTTTATCAATTTTCTGTGGACTATGTACCGGAAATCTTGCGAACTTTGATCTTGATGATATATAAAAATAGTTACATACAATCAAAGCATCACTATTATAGGTATTTGTCTGTTTGTTACATGAGATAGGTAAATCAAATAGGGCAGATATAGTTACCATTTTTGGCTTTCCGAAGTTAAATGATGATGGATCTAGGTATCACTTGTGAACCCTGATGTAAGAACCCAAGGTGCATGTTATTGCCGGATTACCGCCGTAGGATCTGGAAGCGAAGGTACTCACGCACGTCTGCAGTTTGCGCGCTGACGCGCTTCACCGGGGCGAAACTCCGCTGCCACGCCAGAATAGCGCGTGTTGGGATGAGTTCCGGCTCGAAGTCATGGCGAAATGGCAGCAACGACTGTCGCAACCGAGAGCTGCTCGCTGTCATCGCAGCAGTAAGTCCCCTCTTTGAGGAGTAGCTTGAGAGACGCTACGGCGTTCTCACATGCCACCTGACGCAGGTACTTACCGGACATGTCAGTTTATTCGGGAAGAAACGCCTGGGTGTTTTCAAGCAAGGACGGAGGAGAAGCAAGGACCGCCCAAAGGCCACGGTGGAGCATACGGTGGCAGTTTGCCCAACGTGAACTAAGCATCGCCGTGTCTCAGGGATGTAGTCGGCGACGGCGACCTCTCGCGTCCGGCCAGGCTATGGTACGAAGCGAGGGGGATTGGGATGCTGGCTCCTCCTTCTGCGAAGCAGTCATGCTAGCCAAGGAGGAGGTGGGGTGCGTGAGGGAACGAACCTCCTCACACCCTAGTCGTCGCGAAAGTCACTCCGGGCGTTGGAGATCGCGCGACGATCTCTGGCTGTGGGTCTGCGGATGGCAAGCAAAGATAGCTCGCCGCCCGACTAGAACTAGACCCATGCGTACGGCGCGTCACGTCACGAGCGCACCTCAAAGAGCCCGATGCCCGATATGGAGCCGCGGAAGGCCTAACGGGTTGCCAGGGCTCTGGCTCAAAGCAGGAGTAGGAACGGGGTGGTTTTTAGTCAGTAAGAGTCTGACACTCCCTCGCCTCACCCAAGACGGGAGAAGTCATTGGACTATTTTCCCTCCTCAAAAAAAAAGGTGCATGTAATATTCATGTCAGCTCTGATGTGAGCCTGGTAGAACATTTCTGGGAGGGCTCATAATAGATATCTCATAGATTAACATTGTATAGACCAATTAAAAATCTCTAAATGAAGAATGTAGACGACAATAGGTCGGTCCGGGGAGATACTGACAGTGGCTTCCGTGGTGTTTTTAGTGAGGTGAGAATAAACCCCCCCCCCTCCCTAGTCTTTCTCCCCAAAAAGCCAGGCGCTTATAAGAAGATTTTCCTCCTAATAAGAAAGGTGCAAGACCATGACTAAACATATATTATTGATATCAACTTATCAAGTGAAGCTACACACTATCAGGCTCGAACAGTTTCCTGTATGACACACTGACTGTGATTAATGACGATTGATAAATCAATAATCTCACTACTGAAACGGTATTTATATTTATACGCTACGTGCATCCAGATCTCATTAGTATTCCGAACATTGCCAAACATGGATTACAAGGTTGAACTTCTGGTGTTTATCACCCTTCTGATTGGAAGCTTTGGTAAGTTGTACAGTTTTTTACACGATGTCTTGTTTACGGTGGAAACAATAATATGCTGTATCTTAAATTATATCAATTTTAATAAACCAAATCTTTACTTGTCTACAGCCTTACCAACGCCCGAAGATGACTTGTCCAGGTTCTTCGACCACACCGATGACGCCAACGCTCGTATCATTGGAGGTACTGAAGTGGCAGCTGGCGGACACCCTCACATGGCGGCTCTGTTCGCAGGAATACATGGGAAGATCTTCATCTGCGGGGGATCACTGGTCACAAAACGCACTGTTCTCACTGCTGCAATTTGTGTTAATATTATCTACTCCAACTCAATCATTCCGTAAGAGTACAATCTATTTACATTTTTCTACAGTACTTTAAATATTTCCTTTTTTTTTAAAACAACGTTGCCCGACTTTAAGATTTTGTCATGTGTCGTGGGTATATTTACAAGCATACAAGTTCACATAGACATGGCAAAGAGATGCTCCGTGCGGGAATTGAACCCGCGACAAGTTGCATGGCCAGCCCAGCCACCGCTTCAACTGTGCCGTCAAATAATAATATAGTTACCAAGTGTACCGTTGACTAATCGTACTAACATTTTGTTGTACACAACATACAGGTCTGCGCGGGTGGCTGTCGGCTCAAACCGCTGGGACAGAGGTACCGAGTACACTTTACTTCGGAACGTATCTCATCCTGACTTCGAAATATATAAACGCAAGAATGACATCAGTGTCCTCATCACCTCCACCGACGTGGTGCTCAGCAGCCTGGTGCAGCCGGTGGCCCTCACTTATGACTTCGTTGGTGGAGGAGTGCCGGCTATAGTTGCTGGATGGGGTTCTACTACCGTAAGGAAAAATATTTATCACTAGTAGCCCTTTCTGGTCTTTTACTGTGATGGAAATATTTTAGTGAAATTTTCATAACGCTTTGGTATGTATCCACTTCCAGTTGAATTGGCCGAATCCCCCGTCTGACATTCTGATGGAACTATCAACCACCACCATTGGACGTAAGGAGTGTGTGGCTCGCGTTTTAAAAGGTGCCTTTAATTGGGAGAATGGACAATATAACGACCCCAGAATCGAAGTCTGCACCTTACACTCTAAATCTGGAATTTGCTACGTAAGTCTTTTAATATGATATGATGGTTCAATATATTTTTACATTAAGAATATTACGTTTCACAGAAACAGTAGGATCTTAATAAAACGTGTTTAAGCCGTATATGAAAATTTCAATAACTGTTTAACTATAAACATGAAATCGGCCCGAGATAGAGAGTTACTCTATAGTAAATAGATATAGTTTAGGAAAAAATATATCGACGCTACAAGAACGATGCCTAAGTTTTATGTTTTTTTGATGTATGTACAAATGTTTTTGAAAGTATGTAATTCGGCTTTTGTAGACAGAGGTAATTTATAGTTTAGACAACAGAGAGTATAGTTCCCTAAGATCGGAAAAGGAGGATCCTCCGACCAGGCGAGGTGATCGTGCCTGGCGGGCTTTCTGCCCAACAGTTGTTCGTTGGGATTTTCTATCCGTGTTTATTCGCTTGTAAACTTTGCATGTGCGATGTAGGATTCTTGTGACGTCATCCGTTTACATGTGACATGCGTCGCCACAATTGCAAAAGGTATTGAGTAAGCAGTAAACTGATGAAAAAATGATAGCTTCGAGTTTGTGATGAAAGTAGTAACTTTTTGCTTTATTCACAGGATGACGTTGGCGGTGCTTTACTTCGTGCCGACAACGGCCAGCAGTTCGGTATCGTGTCCTGGGGCTTCTCATGCGCTTTCGGTTACCCCGATGTGTACGTCAGGATCAGCGCGTACGAGAGTTGGTTGAAATCTGTGATTGTTTAAAAACCTCAATGGTAGCACTTTAGTGATCAAGCACCGAAGAACAGTGAAATCGATTATTATGTATATCAATTTGAATTTACTATTGCTGTTAGATTTTCATTTAAAAGATATTAATGTGACAATAAATTATCACTTTTGTTTTTAATTTATTTTTTTTTTGTTTATTTTCTTCTGCCTACTTCATCTTATATTACTAGCTGTTGCCTGCGACTTCATCCACGTAGAATAATGATTGCTAGTCTTTAAATCAGTCTATTCCAAGGTATTTATATTATACAGCTGTAACAAATGTCATCACAATCGATTCAGTGCCTAAGTTAGAATTATTGTGAAATTAATTAATTATATCGTTGTTTCAAAAAATAAATCGAAAAACGTACAATCAGTCGAAATTCTAAGAAGATTTATACAAACTTTTATCCCCTTGAGGGTAGTATTTACCAAAATCCTTTCTTAAGCCTTTAAATGCCGACAAAAACTGTTTAAGGCCAATCCTCCGCTAGCGTCGGACATCACTGCCCGACAAGACATCCAATGTGTTAACAGATCATCGTTTAAGAAACCAGGTCTTAAATCGTTCAAACAAAGTTTTAGTGTGTAAGATGAATGTGACGTACAAAGTAAGATGAGTATCACGTATTTTGAGAATTTCATAATAAAATATTATCACAATCATGTATATATATAAGGTGCTCTATAATTATCAGCCACGGCTTTAATGGGAGGTGGTGTTATGTTTACAGATTACAATTGTGAAGAAATTTCGTGCCCCGGACCAGTTAATTACATACAGTAATTAAGTAAACATTGACTACATTCTGCATAATATGGTCACAAATTACGCGCGATGCGTCGCTTAGTCAATGAAAACAATTGCTATCTCTTTCCACGTGTACTGAGAATGAAAACGGAAATCAGCTGACTAGTTCGTCACTATCTAATCTACTAGATACTCAATAGGCAGGCTAACAAGGGTTTTAAAAGTGCAATTACTTACCAGGTACGGCATTCTTCCGAAAAGCTGATGTAGGTAAATAAGATTATAAACTTCCCATCAAACTTAAAACAGTTTTTTACACACTTTTACAGTTATTTACACACTCTCTACCTACTTATCTACAAAACGGTTGCACAAGTCCACCTTCGCGTTGCACACAAATGAAGGCAGGCAACACTACCTATACATAATTATATACCTATAATTAAATGATTCCGATAATTAAAGACAATGGTGGTATAAGTATACTACCCTGTGGCATTCCAAAACAACGTTTAATTTATGTTTTAATACAAAACTATATATAAAGCATTTTGTATACTTCTGAGGTTTCAGACATTCTTGTTATGATGTAGGCGTGCACAGCACATGGGTGCACGATCAGGGGGCGGCAATTTGCATAATCAAAATCATTGTTCAGGGTAAACAGAAAGCATAAGAAAAGTCCGGTCAGCAGTATTTGCATTATTATCACTATTAATTAATTGTTATCTGTTAGAATAAGCCTAAGCTGGAATACCAAAACTTTGGAAATTTTGCACCGTCTGCTCAGTGGCGCTTCAAATTGTATTCAAGTGTACTTAGTCGTTTTTATACAGTTAAAGACTGGTAAAATTAGGAGAATCCTACTACTCGCCACCTGATCTCGGTTCATGGCACCCCAAAATCCGATAAAAAATCCCTCTGAACATATAGCGAGCCTTTTATTTAAAATCTTGCATGCATGTATTATTTTAATACTGTATGCACACACACGTTTAACTTAACTGCTTAACTTAGCAATTCAGGTGTAGAGAGCCATGCTTCGGCACGAATGGGCCTCACAAAAAACCGACATGAAACAACGCTTTTCGTTGTTTCCTCGTGTGAGTGAGGTACCAGAGCAACAGTAGAAACTGTTTAAAATACGCAGTTTGTTTTATATTGCAAAGCTAACTGACCGCTTTCCGTTTCCACTTCGTCGATCGGGTCCATACTTTCCTCCCTACTACATACATATTCTTTTCCTTTATTGCAAGTACCTATTTGACCATAACAATCACATTTCTATGTAAAACTTATCAGTTTTTTTATCTTCTTTCTTGTTTGATTCGTTTGGCGAATTATCATCATCATCATAACAGCCACAGGACGTCCACTGCTGAACATAGACCTTCCCCAATGACTTAAAATATAGTCCACATTTTCTCAATACATATATTGGCAGTTTGCTATTTTTTCAATGCTAGCCAACTTGTGTTTTATAAGCCAGCCGTATAGTCCTGGTGTTGCACCGAAATAGTTAAGAATGTTCTTTCCATTATGATCTTCAATTTCTTCGCCAAACAGTCTCATTTCGCTTATTCCGATTATGTCTTATTTAATATGGGTCTATGGCCAGCTCAGGTTCCATTAGTTTTTGAAGGGTTATCCAGGATCTTTTATTTATTTTGAATGCTTCTTTTCTTCCGCTTAGAGACTCGAGGTCATTTTCTCCCACCAGGACCAGTCGGCTTGCAAGAGGGTTGTGTTTATCAGGATTTCTGTTTCTAGTATTTGTATTTAGTTTTGTTTCCCGGCTACCGTTTCGTAATTGCTATTGAATGTTAGTATACAGCCATTTGTATTTCGCTGTCATTAATTTCCAAATATGATAATAAATTACAAATTCATGTTAAGTATAATGATATCTCCTCTAATGTCTTTAAAAATAGATTATGGGCCCCATATAATAAAAAAAGTACAATAAGATTTTCTCCTGTATCGTGGGTGCTTTTATAAATATACAGTTCCACATACACATTATACCTATACCCAGAACAACAATTATCAGACATGGTACATGAATTCTTCTGAAATAAGATATACATCATCATGTCGTGGTGGCCCGGAGGTTTATGACACACTTCTCATACATGAGGGTGCTGGTTCGAAACCTACCAACGGCAAGTACCAATGTGACTTTTTCCGAGTTATATGTACTTTCTAAGATTATTTAGACACCACGGACAAACGGTGAAGGAAAACATCGTAAGGAAACCTGGGCTTATAATTTCTAATTATAAGTTTGAAATCGCCAACCCGCATTGAGCAAGCGTGGTGATTAATGCTCAAACCTTCTCCGTGTAAGAAGAGGCTTTGCTCAGCAATGGGCATTTATAGGCTGTTGATAATGAAACATAAACATTTCATTTACGTTACATAAAATATAGCAGTAAATATAGGAACAGTAGTATTTATTGATGGTATTTATTATTACTACATTGCGAAAAAGACCGCGGCCCTAGTAACAAAAATAAAAGTTCCTCACGTCGATGATACCCCATCCAGCAACTGTAGCCGGCACTCCTCCACCAATGTAGTCATAAACGAGGGCCACAGATAAGGGCTACCGCACAGTGGGTTTTGCGGCGGCATGCGCACTGGCGGGCACTCCTCCTTGGGAGCTCGAAGCGTGGGTGCTCGCCAGAGTGTATGAGTGGACGGCGGTTCCCCAAACCCCTCCCCAACACAGGGAAGGGTGTGATGGCCCGCCATCTATGGCAGGCTTAGCCGAGAGGATCCTGGTCGTAAAGGTTCAACCGGTATCCCAGACCCCCTCACATGGCGACGCTGGTGTGCTCCTGGGTTTTTAGTGGGTATGCCGGGGCTTCTCCCGGAGATTCCCACATATCCCTCCCGTCCCCCCACGGGAGGATGATACATAAAGTATTTTCCCAGGGTCAAAAGGTTGCTGAGCACTACGTCGGTGGAAGTGATGAGGACACCGATGTTATTATTCTTGCCTGTCCATTGATCGCAGTTAGGGAAATTATTAATTTACCAATCGTCATTAATCTCTGACAAGGTGACGTACATAAGCCTAACAATGTACAATTCATGTATAAACCTATAGTTAGGTCTATATTTTCATTAATTACGCATAATCAGCAGCGAATTAAATATTTAGATTTCATCTATTTCCTGTGGAAAATGTTCCGGAAACCTTATCAACTTTGGTCTTGATTATATATCTAATTACCTACAAACAAAGTATCATTATTTGTCTGTTTGTTATGTGAAACATAGGTAAATCAATTAGGACAGATATACCATAACTTCCTGTATAAGATCTAACTTCTGTTAGATGTTATACCCGAGGCGTGTAATATTCACGTCAGCTCTGAGGTGAGCCTGATGTATCAGTGCAGACCTGTGCTAGATTTCCATGGTAGAGATCGACCATGGGTCGGACTGGAGCAGATCTATATAAGAAGTCCTAGTGCTCCTTTCAGACGCTAAAGGTAGCCACCGGGGTAGTTTCTGTGAGGTAAGAATCCCACCCTTCCTAGTATTTCCTCCCAAAAAGCTTGAAATCTTTAAGAAGATTTCCCCCGTAATTAAAAAGTGACTAAAATCTACGAAGTAATTTTTGTACATTGAAGAAATTCACGAAAAATATAGCCAGCGTGTTAAAAGATAACTAAAACAACCCATTTCCATCATTTTTGAAATTTTTGTCTGTTTGTAAATACTATACCACCTTATTGAGTGGAGTTCATATGTATATAGCCCACTGTTATCTAAACGATGTTGTTTTGTTTTCGACAACCACGCGAACGAAGTCGCGGGCACAGCTAGTATCTAATAAAGCCGGGAGCACAAGTAGTAACGACTTTAGATAAAACAGTGGGCTCAAAATCGCAGTTTCCTCTATGACTCACGGATAGTGATTAATGACGATTGATAAATCAATAATCTCACTACTGAAACGGTATTTATATTTATCCGTAATCTGCATCAATATCTCATTAATATTCCGAACGTTGCCAAACATGGACTACAAGGCTGGATTTATGGTGTTTGCTTACCTACTGATTGTAAGCTTTGGTAAGTTTTTACACGCTTTAACTAAGCTGTATGTTAAATTATATCAATTTTAATAATCCAAATCTGTACCCCTTTATAGCATTTCCAACGCCCGAAGATGACTTGTCCAGGTTCTTCGACCACACCGGTGACGCCAACGCTCGTATCATTGGAG